ATGCAAAGCCACTGTCCTATAATTCCTCTCTGATTAACAGTGACAGAAAAAGTTGATATAGTTTTTTCACCTTTTTTTCTTTCTCTTTTGTCTTTTTGGTAAGCTTCATTTTCATTTCATAAAGCCTTGGATGTCATTATGCTTTCTGCTGAAGAAGTGTAATATTAATTTAAGTTGCTTCAGTGGCAAAGAATGATTAGGACTGCCAGAATCTTGCTTGTGCATATATGATCAGTAGATTTTATAGATTACTGAACTGAACATCCATCAGCTTCCAAATGAGCTATTAAGGAATCAGTTTCATTGGCTCATGGTTGTTGACTATTGTCATGGGTGGGAGACTGAAGACAAGCTTTATTTTATCTTTGCAATTGTTTTATTGATGATATTTGTAATGCTTAATTAGCTTGCAAACATTCATGATTTGTTTTATTTTTATGTGGTTGACAACCCTAATAATTATGCATCAGCTCATTTTAGTATATCACTGACTGTCATGTCTAGGAGTCAAGTTCTATTTTCTCTATTCGACATATGGCACATTCAGTATGGATTCAGTATGGAAGAAATCTGATTGTTGTTGTTTTTTATAATAAAGGATCAAAAGTAGGGAACCGTCTTAGTGGTCTGATTTGCACAATCACGCAGTGATAGCTCATTAGATGTTTGAGGGCTGTTTCCCCCTCCCACAAGCCATGCTAGCCGGGTTCACCTGACATGTCAAACCATACAACAGCCTCAGCTTCCCCCAGTTCTAATCTCGTACGAAGTTTTTTTGTTTTTTGTTTTTGCAAGGGTCTGCTAACTATAGTAAACAGTCCACACTGTCAGTTATTTAGGCCTGTTCGTTTGACTTAGTTCCCAGAAGCATTGAAGATGATGAGTTACTTCCAATTTCACATGAAATTTCACTCTGCCTGCACCACGAGTCTTCCCCTTCTTCATCTCCTTACTGTACTTGCCACACCACCACAGGGTCCCCAACCTTCCAGGGTAGATTAGATTGTTGTTTTGTTACACTGAGTTATGTCGAGTGATGTTAAATTACATTGTTACCTCACATTTAAATACACTCACAACACAAACAGTTTCTATGAAGCAAATACAGGCTTCTTATTTCAGATACTTGTAGAAAAGCAATTTGTTTAAATTTATCTTGTATTCACTTTTAAAGACATAAGTGTAACAGTGTAAACTCCAGTGGTGGAAATGCTCCCCCCCCCGAAAACAAAACAAAACAAAAGGTCTAAAATAGAACAATACCCCGTAACTACCTGAACTTGCATCATTCTATAGCCAGAGTGGGGAACCAACATCTGACAAAATATTGTTGGATTAAAATACCAATTGCCCATGACTAATGGTAACGCTGAATGCAAATGATGGGAGTTAGAGTGACAAGTAGTCGACCCCTGATCTCCAGGAATAGGACAAGCCACTAAGTGCACAATCCTATGCGTATTGAGACAGAAAAGAGTCCTACAGTTTCCCAGCATGCCAGCTACCAGGGAAATGCTAGGAGCTGGAGGACTTTTCTATCTCAGCCTGCATGGGATTGTGCCCGAGGTGGTATCTTTAAGTACCTGCAGAAGAGCCGTATGTCCCTTTGAGCTGGTTCTACAAGCCAAGCACAAAACTTGACTTGCTTATTTGTTGCAAATAAGCAGCACATCATCATATCCAACAGACTCTCAAATGTTTTCAAAATTAATGGATGGATTGTTACATTATTTAAACTTTGGCAAAATTCAATTGAAACAAACATTCAAATGAAAGCAATTTTGATTTGATTAGTTATCACCAGTAAGTCATAGTACATTAAATTAGCCCTGAAATTATTATGGATGTCTTGAGATGATTTAGTATTTGATTAGAATTACAGGACAACAAATTCAAATGTAACACGCATACCTTTAGATATTTCCCCTGCACTAGGTTTCCTCCTGCTGACTCATTTTGAGTACAGTTCATTTCTATGTAATTATAAAAATTCCCAGAAATAAAAAGAGACAGAATCTAACTCCCTGCTGAGCATACAGACACATTTAATCATTCTTGTATCTCACAGTACCTCCACATGCTACTACAATATTTTTCTCCTCTTTGCAGGGGAAATAGAACTATTGTCCTTATTTGTGCATATGATAAATTTCAGAAGGTGTTAGACCGACCTTCCTTCTTTCCTTCCTTCCTTGCAGTTTAATTTAATTTAATTACAATTTTAATTTTAACCTACCATACAGAACAGTTGTACATACAAAGTTATTTTAGTCATTAAGTATGCCACCCAATGGGTGGTAGATCTTACCATGTAATTTGAAGGACTTGCTGGGAAAATATTATTAAGTCTTTTGTTAATTGATATAATATAGTGGTTTATTTGTTTGTGTATAATATCTCCTAATTTCAGATTATATTATTTAAAATAAAAAGTGCATTTCTATTGATAGAAAGTTATAGGTGTTTATTTCAGAAGGTTTCTGTTTAAAAAAAAAGTCATGCTTTTTCTCTCAGTTTTTGAGGGAGTGATATGGGTAGATGCCAAGGAATATGTTGAGACGATTTGGCATATATTTATTTAACCTTAGCATTATATTTGTTTCCAAAGTTTTATATGTAGGAGGTAGAACTTCAGGTTGGGGACATCAGCATGTAGTAGAAAAAGAACAGATGGTCATCAGACCAGAGCAGATTTGAAGCCACCTGAGGACATTAGCATAGCCTTCACAGCCTTCTGTTAGCAAAAATGCCCAGTTCAGATTGTGCATGGATAAATATTCTCATGATAAAGATTAAGAGTAATTTTGCCTTCCCTGGAAGAATCCCTGATTAAAGATTAAAAAATTTTAAGATTAAAAAGAACACTGTGATGTGTCAGAGGAAAGCTCTCACCAAAACCATCCTGCTCCCACCAAAATAAGGCCAACAGTAAAAGAGAAAGCTGCTGCTTCTGTATTTCTCCCTACATTATTAAACTTCCAGAAAAAAAACTTCAGAACCCATTTCCAGCGCCCTTATCTTACTGTCAACCCTGTCTGAGAAAAGAAATCCAGAAAACAATTGCTAAGAAGGTACTGCATTGTTTTTTATCTGCTCTTGAACATTGTGAACAAACTTCAACAGTTCATGTTGCCAACTGGCTTTTTCTTTTGTCAAAAAACCAGGCAAGACAAGCCAGGTTCAAAGTGTCGTGCATACAGTGTCATGTAGCCACAAGGTTCATGCTGCAGGCATATTTGCTCTGCATGTAACATGTCGTACTCGTATTTCTTACATTAAAAATATAAAGCAGGAGTGGGCAACACGTGGCCACACACATAAACACATGCAGTACACCATGGAAGAAAAATAAGGAAAACATGTATCCATGGTACAACTGAGCACCAAAATAATCAAATTTAGTTTTGCATCTCCCCAACCCACAAAATATGGAACTTTTAGGGATCTGTTGCTGATGCAGATGTCCTCCTTCTGTCAAGCTTGCCCATACTGGGGAGTGCTTAGGGGACAAAAGTAGCCTATGGTCCCCCCAGAGCTGCTCATACGTAATATGATGTGAGACCTGGTCTGGTGGTTAGAGTGCTGGACTGGGGACCCAGGAGATCTGGGTTCTAGCCCACACTTGGCCATGAAGCTCCCTGAGTGACTTTAGGCTGGCCACTCTCTCTTGGCCCAACCTGACTCACAGGGTGTTGCTGTGAGGATGAAACGGAGCAATGTGAACCTCCTTGGGCTCTTCATAAGAAGAAAAAAGGCAGGATATACAGGCAATGCAATAATAATGATAATAATGAAGTCAGAATGACATATGCTCATTTACTTGTGTTTGGGGACCCTGAAGCTCTCAGGAGTTTGAGGTATATGAACATGGGGTTTGCAGGTGCATTTATCCGCGTGCATGTAGGTTAACCACATATTTTGCTTGCTGGGCAAAATGTGGAATTGCCCACTGAAGAAAATTCGAGGACATTGAGGGGCCTTTGCAATGATCAGTCACACTATGAATTTAGTACTTATTTATTACAGCAATTTCTTTCAGGTAATAGAACAGTACCTTAAGAATATAAAAATATAATCCATACTGGATTAGACCAATGGTGCATCCAGTTCAGCGCTCCACGCAGTGGCAAACCAGCTGTCCACAGAATCCTCCAAGCAGGATGGGGACAAGATTTCTGGCTGCTCAAGCTTCTAGCTGCATGTAGGCATGCTTCCTCTGATAATGAAGGATCTTACTCCTGCTGTATATGGGTGTGTGGTGGGAAATAATTTTCTGTTTTGGGAAAGCTTTACTGCTGGTGGTATTCACACCCCTTCATTTTCCCCCATTGGACTAGATACATATAGCAGTGCAAGAAAAAAGGAAGGGTTAACTGGCCCTTTCTTAGCATTCTCCCAATCCAGCCTCCCTCATGACTGCCTTAAGGGCTTCCGCCAGCCACCCTACAAACTGTAGGATCCTGGCCACAGATCCTGTAATCTGCTACTTCTTATTGACTTGCACCATAGTGAGAGTTTGACAGCTAAATGACATTTAAACCTTGACTTCTAACATCAGACCTTAGGAGCATTGCCAAAAAAGAGTAAATGTAACAAAAGTTAGGAAACATATCAGCATAAGGTCTGGATATATTTGCTTATATGTAAAGATGAACATTTAGAAATAATGTCTATAATTTACATAGAGGCACAATACATTTCACCCTAATGTGTGAGACTGTGTGCCTACTCACATTGCTGTCTGAGTGCTAACTGTTGGTAGGCAACCTCCAAGTCTCTGCTCTCATTTTCGTACAGTTCTTTACCTTGAAACCAGACTTGGATTGAAGAGCCCTTCAAAAAGAGGGCACGTTCTAACAAAGGACTGTCTTCTGTTAGCCTTTCAAACAAAGGACTGCAATCCTATAAAAGCAACTCAAGCAACAATGACTAAATTCATTGCATTTCGGCTTGTGGAGAAACCCTGAATTATTAATATTTTCTTGTTTTTATCACTTTAGGTGTATCAATACATGCATGAAACCATAAATGTTAACGGCTGCCCAGAATTCCGTGCCAGGGCTACTGCAAAGGTAGGACGCATTCAGCTTTAGAATATACACTCCCGTACTGGCCTAGTAATTGACTGTGCGCGTGTATGTTTCAGGTATTCGTGTGTACACTGTAAGAAAATTTAGACATCAGTGGCAGCCCAGAGTCTAGAACCAGTACTACTTCCCAGGTAACAACCATAATGGCAAATTCAACCTTTGTGCTGCTTCTGTAGCTTAAGAAAAGAGAATGCTTTATAAAGTCAGCAGCTTGTGGGGCGAAGGGGGAATCAGCTTCCAAACAAATGTACTATTTCATTGCAGAAACATTACCTTTAGTGCTTCTACACCCAGCTTCCCCAGTGCCAGATTTTGCTCATAGCAGGTGGCTAGACTTGCCTTCAGAACAGTGGAGGTGCCAAAGCTCTCACTTTCAGAGTTGCTGAGCAGATATTTTTCCAACAGAAAATAGCAGTGATTGGGGGTTTTCACCATTTCTGAAGAACAGGTCCTTATGATGAAGTTTTCTGAAGATTCCTTGCAAATTTGGGTAAGCTCCGTGCATCTAGAGAAAGATTGCCTTTGTAATTAAAACTGAAATGTACTTTTGTGCTTGTGCTCCACAGGAATAAAAGTTTGTAACAAAATAGGTATTTCATTGTGGAATAAATTTCTAATGATGGTAAACCTTGAATGAATTTCCCTTGCCTGAATAAGACAAAGAAAACTAGGAAGATTATAGAACTTCTACATATCACAAGCTGAGAATGTTTTTCTTTGCAGATCAAAGCAACAGATGCCAATCTTTCTTCTATGCTATAGCCAGTGACAGAAGCCCATTAATTTTTAATGGCGATAACCAGGGTTTGATAGAGGGAAAATATTATTTTTAATATATTTTAAAAGCCACTGAAACAGGGCCAATGCTTCATTAGAACTTCAAGAAGAAAGCATTCTCAGCCATATAATGCTTCCATCATTCATTATGCTTAAAGGTAAATCAAAGTAAAATGTTTCCATTTCTTTATCAACTAGATTTCTAGAGCAGCTTCAGTTTGATGTCAGGTAAACACTGTAGCTATTTAAGCATTATAAATTACCACCATATGGAAGTTAAAAATGGGGAAAAAACACCTCTCAAGAAAGTTTGCCATTCTCATTTCTTATTTCTATAGAACAGCAGGATTGTAGAGCAATGTTTCAGTATCACAATACTTCCTGGTTATTTCTGGGCTGTCTGCATTGCATTTTTCTTGTGCATTTATGTCTGGCATTTAATGTGTGCATGTTGACAAATTTTGCATGATAACAAATGTTGCATATATAAGAAATTATGTTCATGTTACCTACTTCCATCCATCAGACAAGAACATTAACTGTCCTTGTACTATAGGGGCTTTTAGATGTATACTCCACTTAGACATTTTATTATATTAAACAGTGTGCAAGTACTTTTTATGAGCTAGCCAAAATTAAGCACTTTTTGGCCCATTTATTTCAATCAGAGAGTTAAGTATGTGCTGCCAGGGACAATAGAATATGGAAGATAGCAGACACTGCTACAATCTTGGAAGGCGGAATCCAATTTCAGGCCATTCTCCCATTCCCAACCCTGCCCTGCCCACAACTGCTATGGAAGGCATCATGGAAAGCAACAGTGACCTTGGAAGAACTCTGGGAAGGTAAAAAGGATGTCTTATGGTGGGTGTGCAAGGCAAGGGAGTCATGGATCATACAACTTCAACAACACTAGTAAGCCAGCTAGATGGACTCAGAAATTACCTCTTTCTTTCCACATAGTCTGGATTTTGCTAGCAGAGCTTTGGATAGGCAGAGGACTCCAGTTTCTCTTGTTAAAATCAGTAGTATTAGAAAGTGCTTAACTTTGGGTAGATTCTTCTGTACATTTTAATACATACACAATGAAGTGTATAAATACAGAACATTCTGGTAGTTGCTTGCATGGAAAACTGCTATTACCATGGTGCAAAAATGCTGGCTTATTTTTAAAAAGACTTCCAAATTTTAAGTGCCATTGTGATATTTTTCCTGCTCCTTTTTTCAGCTGCTGTTATAGTTTAAAGAGTTCTAAAATTGCATCAGCCACAATTACTAAACTCCCATAATTAAAATATTTTACTAAACTTCCTTACCATTGCTTCTTTGAAATGACTCCACTATTCATGTAAAGATTGGTATACAAATTCCATTTCAGTGCGGAGGTATATTTCATACAAAGTTTTGCTAGCTTGGAACTCATTGTTTATGTTAAAGTTCTGCAGAGCTTTGGATTGTGTATAGAATTTCTTGAAATGTTTCTAAATGTTTTAAATCACTTAAAACATTTTTTTCCCAAAACTAAAATGTAAAATTATAAGAATCTCCTCTTCCTCCTCCTTTTTAAAGGTCTGGCAACATTTTCTTGTGTTTCTTGTGTTGGTTTTTTCACAGCAGTCAGTAAGAATTACAGTCACACATATCAGGTTTAATTGAGTGACAACATCCTAGAGATAACTAGAATTGCTTAAAAATGTATAGCAATTCTAAAATTGCTAATAGCAGTGGTGGAAACCCCTGAATTTAATTCCCAAGACACTCTCAGGGGCTCCATTGCAGTGATGGGTATGGCTAAAGAAGATGTGTCCAAAGGAAAAAGGAGGCAGCCCCAAATACCTGTATATAGAAGCCAGTGATAAGTCTTCAGTCTTTTAGGATGGGGTAAAATTGTGGGAAGACACCAAATGATCAGTAGTTGGAGAAAGGTGATAGGGCCAGGGGAAAGTTGCATGGCCATTGAAGGAAGCCCACAGGGCCAGCTTGGGAGAACCAGATTTGGTTTCCTGGCCTGAGTTTTGCCACCCATGGCTTACAGGCATAAAACATCTAATGCAGCTTGTGGTTCTGCCCAAGGAAGCTCCCCCATGCAGAGCATGGAGCAGAACTTCATATTTCTCTTTGTATGCATGGATTGTATTAATAGGAATAGGGGTGACAATTGCATTTCACATGTAGGAACTTCAAGGGATCTTCCAAGTGGATCAGACTCAGATCTTAGGTTTCCTGCATCTCAGTCCTAATAGCAACTGGCATATAACTGCTGGCATATAACTGCATGGAAGCCCTGGCACTACATTCTCTATATCAGTGCTTTCTATTCAAAAGGATAATGCTGAATTTGGTTTTTTTAAACCATTCAGAATACTATTTTGTGTAAATGACTCTAAAACAAATGGGCAAGAGTGTTTCTAATGATATGCTGAAGAACCTTTTTCTTCTTCTAGGCAACAGTCGCTGCTTTTGCAGCCAGTGAAGGCCATTCTCACCCCCGAGTGGTAGAACTGCCAAAGACTGATGAAGGCCTTGGCTTTAATGTGATGGGAGGAAAGGAACAAAATTCTCCTATTTATATTTCTCGCATAATTCCTGGAGGAGTAGCTGAGAGGCATGGAGGACTGAAACGGGGAGACCAGCTGCTTTCTGTTAATGGAGTGGTATGTGAACATTTCACATGGCTTTTTATTTTTATGAATTGTACTTATTGAAGGAGCTTTATATCACATACAGTCTGTAAAAACTCCTAGCCAAAAAAGCATTACATATACTTCTTCAATTCTCATGGGTTCAAAATTGAAATCGCAAACACCCGGTCTTTAGTGTGAAGGTGGAAAGGTATGTCCCAATATAAAATAACAGCAAAATATGCAAGTCAACAAGCACCCATATTGGGGAGGGGAGGGGGGCCCAGCCACTCACAGTATGTCATTCTGATACGCTAGACCTCGAAGAGGAAGCTCTATGTAATCTTCAGTTACATAGAGCTTCCTAATCTAAACAGCTACTGTTTAGCTATTACAGACCATTTAATATATGTATAAATTCAAGGTCTGAGCACTGCAATGGACACTAACTCTGTCCACTCAAGAGTTTATTCAAGCACTGATTTTCTGGCGTGTTAGCAATGCCCTTCCATTTTCTACATAGGACAACCAAAATAAAGGGACATCAATATGAAATCAAAAATTGCCAACACTCACAAAGCAGATAGAGAACATTTTAGTCTCGCAAAATTCTCTGCTGAGTCCAAGAGTCACCATTCAGCTTTTCCCTTACTTGTTAAGCCTCGGGAATGCTGTTTGCCCATCCTGAGTGAAAAAAGGATCAATGAGTCTTGAGTCTTCTCACAGGACTCAAAAATTTCTTGCCTCTTGCAGTTTTGACTGTTATTCTGCTTTTCATAACCAGAGTGTAGAAGGAGAACACCATGAAAAGGCTGTGGAGCTACTCAAGGCTGCCAAGGACAGCGTCAAACTGGTGGTGCGCTACACCCCTAAAGTATTGGATGAAATGGAAGCTCGGTTTGAAAAACTGAGGACAGCACGACGCAGGCAACAGCAACAGTTGCTAATTCAGCAGCAACAGCAAAATGCACAGCAAAATCATATGTCATAGGTAAGAGTATTTGTTGGTCTCACTTTTAACTTGTTCTTGGGGAAGTCATGGCAAGCTTTGAAGATAGTAACATGTCTACTTCTGGTGGTACTGACCATGTTGTAGCTACCATGTTGTAGTTTTTAGGTCATTCTCCTTAGCAGATGTAGCTTTTGCCTATTTGCTTAGGTTGGTTCCTATGGTTTATACACTGCCAATAAACAGCTAATATTGCAGGAAAAACTCACAAAAGAATCAAGGAACTGTAGAAGGAAGAAGTAATCAATCACATTTAGGGTTCAGGTTTCTTACTTTCAAAAATTATCAAAGGTGAATATCCACAACATTTGGTGAGACTTCTCACTGCTTTAGCTTTAAGATCTATCCAGAATATTATCTAAAAAGGTGTTGCTTCCTTCAGGTTCATCAAAACCTTTGTCTAATTGAGTTCAGAGGAAGCTTAGAAGAGCAAGAATAGAATATATCACTTGACAGATATTATCTGATTTTCTTCAAGTAGTTATGTATGTTTACCCCATTTTCCTTTCTCAGTTTCTTGATATGCTTTATATCTGTCAGTGCCTAAAATATCTATTATGTAACTTCAATGCCTGGTCCGCTTTGTACATCAAAGATCCAGACGAATACATTGATCATCTTTGTAGCTCCCTCAACATAGAATGTTTTCATTTTGTTTGCAGAGCCAGTAAGTGATTGCTTCTGGGAAACAGGCATGATTTGCTGTGGGTTATTTGTAGGCAACAAATGGGCTGTATGCAACCCCCTATGGCTGATTTGGTGGTTCCTCATTGCCAAAGTCACTGCACTAGGAAAGAGTAGGGTGCCGTTGTTTTTTTAAAGATACATGGGAGGAGCACATCTTGTTTACAAGCAGAATCTCACTTAAACCATCCCAGGAAAATGATCTTGCTGGCAAACAAGGCATATGCACCTGGCTTCCTTGTAAAATTGGTGTATTTTTGCCATGTTGGCAAATCCAATAGCAGTTGTAACCATTTCAGCAGGGTGAGATGCAACTCCCTGCATGTTTGGGGCCTGATCCCTGGCAGTTGCCAATCCCTGATTTAATGTCATATTGTCCTTATAAAGCCTTCCTTTTCCACCTTTCTTTACTAGCTTGTCTCCCTGGCAGCTTAACTACACAGCCTCTACTTAGTAGGTTCTAAAAGCCCATCTAGCTTGACTACCCTACTAGGAAAAGCTCTGTGCAATCCAAACACATAGCAAAAATAGCAGATTTCACTAATTAATTGCCTGCTAAAGATCAACTGGATGTCCTGTATAGTAGTGACTTGCTGGGCCTATTGATTGCCCCATCCTATTTATGCTAACCAAATGCAAGAACATTGTCTCCTTTGCAGCTGTAAGATGAGGCCATACACACATAGAAGTGTGAAAGATCAGGAAATCAAAGGAAGCAAGTGGGATGGGGGTGGAATGTCAGTCAATTCTTCAGTAATTTTAAAGTTTTTTTTTTTAAGTATAGATGATTCTCAAGGAAGAAATTCTAAATCAAGAATTCAACCATGTAGCAGTGAAGCTGTGCTTCGTATTTCAACATCCAGTAAAAGAGTGCAGCTGCAGCAATTCAACAACTGCATTCTCCAGCAAACTGTGAAAGATTGCCATAAGAATTATTTGGCAAGCCAACAACGTACTAAATCCCTCCTGCAAGGTTTTTCAGTGTATTGACATCTTAGGATGAAATGTTTCTTTGATTCTACTCCTGTTGTATGGTAAGGTTTTCAAAATTAAAATGTTGTTGAAAGAAGAAAATAACTCCATATGGAATTAAGCATCTCCATGGTACCTGAATGAGGAAATATATAGATATATGTATGTATACTCCAATCCTGCCCTTTTTGCAAGTGAGACAGACAATGTAAGATGGGCCACTGCCAAGAGTGAGGACTGTTCAGAGTGTGTAGACCCGCATCAGTTGTAGGTTTGCTGGATTGTTTGCATCAGAATGTAGGTGAGGATGTGCAATAGATTGCACATGCCCATTGAAAGCAATGCAGTGTAGATAAACTGGGTTCACTTTTGGCCATTTAAAACCTCTCAACTTGTGTAATATATTCATGTCACAACCCTGTACAGTTATGAAATCCAGTTTGTAATAATTTTCCTATTTTTTCCCTTTGAAGTTATTACTGTAATTATTTAGGGCTGCAATGTTTAGTTGGTTAATCAATTAGATTTAATTTAATCAGCATAGCTGATTAAAAGATACTCTTAATTAATTCTAATTTTTAAAAGGGTTTGCTTAATGTAAGTACTTATGAATCCATTGTACTTATGCATTCTTCACAAAAAGGAATGGTTTTTCTGAGCTGATGCCTGTTCTGCCTCAAGCTTGCATTAGTTACAAAGAAAGGAAGTTTTTCCAGTTCAGGCACTTAAGGCTGCAAACCTATGCATGCCTATTTACAAGTAAGACCTCATTGGGTCTTACTCTCAGATAAGCATGTATAGCAGTGCAGCCTGAACCTCCAATCCAGTTCACACTCATCCACTGAACTTAATATGGCTACTATTGAGTGTGGCTACTACTAGACATGCGTAGCACTGTATGTTATTTCTGAATACATGTAGATTTAATTAAGGAATTGTTCAACCAACTAACATTTCCTTAGGTACATGACAGCTCTAATTTATACAGCATTCAGTTTGTTGCAGCATTTTTTTCACTTGATGTACCCATATATTCTATTGAGCAGGCTTAATTCTATCTTTTGTTAGTAGTAAAACTAGAGGATCCTAGAACTGTATTTTTGAATATAGATATTGTTAGTATATCTACTATAGTTATTATTATCCAGAAATCTATAACTGAGTATACAGTATATTTATAAGATATATATATATATATATAAAATAAATATATATATGCACATATATTGTCAGAATGTACTTGTTCTATAAGTAGGCACTTACTATATATTGCAAATGCTTTCAGATAATGTTAATGAAACAGAACTTTGTTAGGAAGAATAGATATAACTAGTATCTCAGTATTTTCTCTATTTTTTGAAATATATTGTTTAATTCATTTATCTTAGATTTACTATCCAGAATAAGTTAGTCAAGAGCTGATGTACCATAGAAGCTAAGAGGCTGAGCTACAACTTAGGAAGGAAGTCCCGAATGATATCTCTTCCATGAATTCACTAGGTGTCCTTTCGCAAGCCATTCTCTCTCAGCCTTGGTCTCCCACCATCTCTAGTATGAAAGATAGTAATACTGACTTACCTTGCAGGATAGTTGTAAGAATTACAGCTAGATAATGAATATGAATTACTTAGAACACTTGAAAGGATTATACAAATGTTAGGTATTATTACTGCTGTTATCATTATCACCCCATTTCATTCTCCGAGTGGGAAGTCTTTCCAAGCAGGCACAACCAATCTTTTTTCTGACTCTTTACAACATAGGGCTGATCTACACATGCAGTAGAATGAGCTGAGATCCCCACTGGTACCCTGGAGTAGAGGTTGGGTGGATTTAACCATATGCGCCTTTCCAGTGTTTGCATTCAGATTCCTGCACCTGTTGTTTGCATTGGAAGAAATGTGAAAGTGTGCATTTGTGCTCATGACCTCCTTTTGGCCTCCTTTGGCCTTCTCATGGGCATCAGGTTGACCTCTGTGCAAAAAGAATTCTGGACTAGATTGGCCTGTGTTCTGATCCACCATAGCTTTTCTTATGCTCTTAAAAGCTTCCACTGGCTTCAAAGGTTTAAAGCCACCTTACCCCACACTCCAGAGTCCCAGTCTGCATCTCCCACTTCCTGTGGTTGGGTGCAGACTTAGAGTAGACCCTCTGAAATAAGTGGGAGAAATTAGTTGCATCTAGCAGAAGCCCCACTGATTTCACTGGGTCTGTTCTAAGCATGATTAAGTTTGGATGAAACTCCAGACTTAGGAAGCGTTATTTTAAATACGCATAATCACAATCCTATTAATAATTCCTGCAATTTACTTAAAAAAAACCCAGTCACACAAGTGCTAATTGTGTGGATGACATCTCATCTAGTTTTTTACTACATATCATATTTTAAAATGTTCTTCTGTAACTCTCTTTAAATAGGTAATTATTGAATTAGGATTTTTAAAAATCTGTTTTTATTGCACTAGGGTTTCTTATTTGATTGGTGATTTTGTTTTGCTTACAAGGAGTTCTTTTAACATGAAGTAGTAGTAAAAAATTGTTTCCCTTACTTTAAGCCTAGTCCACTGTACTATCTATCTCAGGATTTTACCACCTCATTCTACTGCAAGTATAGCTTAAACTTCAGTCTGTGCCTCTGGATAATTTGTTAGCAATATTGCTTTATATAAGGTCACCCAACCTTAACCTGTTCTGAAAATCCTAACTGCAACCCTCCTAGGTCTCATGCAAAGTTCTTGACTAATACCAAATACTTTTAGTGAGGAAAACTAAACCAGAGATTTATAGGCTCTTGAACATGCAAAGCTAGTACTCGTCCACCATCATATTTATGGCCATCATAGGAAGGTTCTCTGAGACCAAAAAAATATAAAAAGACATGCCAACACCCAATATTGTTAGGAGATACACATATAGTATACCTTTCTGTCCAAATCATCTCAGAACTTCCAAGTAATCAATTCAATTTAAAATGTATCAAATAAAATATACATGGACACCATTTCAAAAGACAGAACCCACCTCTAGCAGCTCCCTTCCAGAATAAGAGTGATCAGCAGAGCTTGCAGAAGAAGCGCCAGTGACCTGTCCCAATCTGAAAACAATTATTTGCACTCAAATCTGGGTTGCCTTAGAAAGCACTCCCCTCCTGTTAGGCTGAGTGTGAGTCTCACAGGCACCACAAAATGAACAGAAGCACAGTGACAGTAGCGGATACTGCCCAGTATTATCAAATATTAATAATAATGTTTATGTTGAAAGGCTGCCAAGACTTTTCCTTAGAAATACTATTTCAAAATTGCTCTTAGAATCTTCCTCACTTAAAG